CATAAAATATAAAATATGAAACAAGATAAAATAAAAAATATGACATTATATCTTATACGAATGAATATAAATTAAATAAAAAGAATAATAGAATAAATAAAAATAAAAATAATGAACAAATAAAATAATTAAATAAGCACGGCCGTGGACATATATCCTACATAGATTGTGGTGACGATTCATTGAATCTGGCAAGTGAAAGTAGCGTGACGTGGCAATGTATAAAGGGGCCATGCATTTGAATTTTCTAAATTTATTTTATTTAAAAAACAGCCTGTCACATTTTGGATTATCTGTAATGTGTTTTTAATTTAAATTCTGTGTCACAATGTCCTTTTTGTTGGAATTATTATTATTATTATTATTATTATTATTATTATAATAATAAAAAGGAATTGAGAGAGTCAGGTAGGTTCATGGAGGCATCATGGTGACACTGACCTGACCTGACCTGACCCAAATTTTCTTGTCAAAATCAAAATTCAAATTTGGAAGTCACTCATAACTGCTAACCAAGAACCTTCACAAATTTCTTTTATTTAACGTTACATTTCTTTTTTTAAATTAATTTTATATTTTATATTTAATTTTTTATATTGCGCAATTTTTTAGTATTCATTTGTTATTTTATCCGCCTGCCAAATTTATTCACTTTCATTTTTCATCCGTCTGTAAATTTATCTCATTACTTACTGTATTTGAAAAAGTAAAAAAAAAAAAATCAATATTTTATTATTATTCTTTATTCAACACGTATTTACAATAAGTATTACTAATTTTATTACATTCTTTTTCTCCATTCTCTTTGATTACTAATTAAATTTCCAAAAATAGCACAAATTATCTTTTTATTTTTTATATTTTTTTTAATAAAATATTTATTTTTCTTAACTATTCTGCCAAATTCAAATGAGCTAAATATTGCTACTGACACAGGGAGTAATTAAGTACTCTTTTTGTCATTTAAATTTTTATTATTATTTTTTTCATCTATTTTTTTTTTAAATTTTACAAATTAATTTTTTTTTTTAATTCGTGTCCAATCAAATAAGCACACAATTGAATGACGAATAAAATATTTGTTTTGTTACTTTTTAATGTCAACCTGTAAAATATTTCTTCCATTCCACTACAAAATATAGAGTTTGTTTGGTTTTTAATTTAAATTTGAGTTTTTATTTAAGTAATATTTTAGTGTGATATTTTACAAAATATATATATATATATATAGATACTGAATAATATTGATTTGAGTTAAATTCATGTCAATTAAATTTGAAAATTTTCAAAATCAATTTTCGGTAAGTATAAATATATAGATTTGATATGTGCATTAATCAAGATTTTTTCAAGTAAAATTTAATTTAAATTGTTGGCTAAATTTATAATTATGGGCTCTGAGTTAGTTACTCTCGTATTGGCTAAATACATTATTGATATATTTACATATTTTAAATATGTAATAAAAGTGACAAAAAAGAGTGATCGAAACACGTAAATGTCAGTGAGTAACAGATGCGTGCACTGTCCGCCCGCCCGCCAGACCGGACCAAATACGAACACAAACTTAGAAACTACACGACATATGCATGCACACGAAGACGGGTGCGGGTTCGGTGTTCGGTCATTCGGGTCTCGTATTGTGGGTCGTGGAATTTGGGGATTAGTAAATGTTTGGTTTGGCGATGCCAAATTTGTATAAAAAATTAATGTCCACTCCGAAAATAATACTCCCTTTCGTTCATTAAAATCAGTTCATTTGGTTCGGCACAAGATTAAGAAAAATTAATATTTTTATTGAAAAACTGATAAAAGTGAAAATCTAGTTCGAAGTATTTTTGAAATTTTAATTAGAAACTTATATGTTTCTTTTGACCCAAATATCTTGATTTTTACTATTTCGACTCTGAGTTCTCCGAAAAAAAATATACTTCCTCCGTCCACTACTAAATTTCTCATTTTTCATTTTAGTTTGTCCAAATCAATTTTTTTTTTTTTATAAAAAGTAACTTTCAACTAAATACCAAAATACTCATGTTTTTTACTTTTTACATTACTTTTAAAAGTTAAAATAGACATTACATTACTTTTAACACTACATATTTATAAAATACTAATTTTTTTTAATCCGCGTGGAAAAGTCAAATGGAAAGATTACTATGGGACGGATGGAGTATTTTTTTCTCTCACAAAATATTTTATTAAATATTATTTTAATACTAAATCAAACCAGATTTTTTTTTTCCAAACTAATCAAAAGAAACACACTCTGAAGAGAGATAATGTAATAAAGTTAATGATATTTGTTATAAATAAATGTTGAATTGAGGGTACTAATTAAATATTAATTTATTGATATCGCCAAAATTAGTATGGAGATAAATTTAACGGACGGACTAAAAAACAATGTAAAAATAAATTCAACGGACAGATGAAGTATATTAGGAACCCAAATTACAATCTACGAGAAAGCTTGAGTGTAAGCTCGATTCATTGGCATCTTGTCCGTATGATTATGGTAATTGCGATGAAAATTAAGATGAAAATTAAGTTGACATAATTCTAAAGATATCTACATGAAAAAAATTCAACTAAAAAAAGTAATTACTTTTCAAATAAAAAAAATATACTCTCTCCGTTCCAAAATTATGGTTTTATTTGGATCGGATACAGAATTTAAGGAATATTAATATTATATTGATAGTTGGTAAAAAGTATGAGTAAAATACATTTTGACCCTTGTGAGTGTATTAGGAAAAAAAGTAGTGGTATTTGTGTAATAATAATGAAAAAGTAAGGATAATTTTATGATGATACGAGTATTTATGGAAATAAAACTATTATTTTGAGACGAACAAAAATAGTAAATAAGACTATTGTATTGGGACGTTATAACACTTCAAAAAGAAACATAAGTATAGTTTTGAATATCAGAAGGAATATTATTATGTTTGTTTAGTTGTATCTTTTCTCCTGTTTTTTATTAGTTTATTCATAATAATTTAGGGGTTTTTTTTTTTTTTTTCATTCTAAATCAAAATCAAAATTAATATTATCTATTTGATACTATTTTTAATGTACAATTTTTTTTTTTAAAAATATATCATATTAAAATACTATTTAAATAAAAACTGAAATAAACCTTTTATTTTAAATTAATTTCAAACTACAATCAAATAAACCATAATATTTATTTTTATTTTTATTTTTATTTAATAGATATCATACTGTAAATATGTATTCAAAATATCACGTTAAATAAATATTTATATCAAATCAAATCAAAATAATTACTACAATTTAAAGTTGTTACAATTACAAAATACAACAGGTTTGTTTGTGTGTATGGTTACTTATTCGAACTGAAATTAACAATGTTGACCTTATACAATTTTTAATAAAAATATATTTTTCAACTCACAACATATTATGTCACAATATTATCTGAACAAAATTTTAAATTAAATATTTTATTTCAAATCAATCTCAAACTACAACTAAACAACTTGAAATTAAGTTTTTCATTTGATTTTTTTTTTAAATAGTATTTTGATATAATATATTGTGAGAAAAATAATATATTTTTTAAAAAATATATGAAATTAATAATATTGATTTTTATAAATGTGTTTTTGTAGTTTTTTTAAGTATAATTATTTGATGTAATTTTGCTTTAAAAAAAATGATAGTGTATTTTAATCAAGAATATTAATTTCATATATTCTAAATTGGGCCAAATTAATATAATTCTAAATTGAGCCAAATTGCAATAAGGCAAAGATATATTCAGAAAAATTGGGCCATAACCTAAGGCCAGGCTCATAGAGAAATGATATAAAAAGGGCGACAAATATTCGTTTCATTTCAAAATTTATTTTTAGTTTCATTTTTTTTTTGAATTTTCACTTTTTTTTAAAAAAAAAATAATTTATTTATCCATCATCAAAGTACATCAATTATATATATATATATATATATATTTGCTACAATTATATAGATTTAAGTAGACTAAGAAATAATAATATTTTAATATTATAGTAGGATAGTTAAAAAATAAAATATAGATATATGATATGAATTATATTAAAAGATTGATAAAAAAAATAAGTAGAATAAGAGTAATGACAATTAGATTATTATTAGTTAAAATAACAATAATAAAATTATTTATAATGTATAAATTTAATAGACCATCAAAAAAAATAAATAATTACATAATTTTGATGAACCAAAAAAATAAAAATTATGTCAACTATTTGAGCACATATTTAAAGGATGGAGTGAATTTGTCCATCAAGTCTTATATCATAAATATAATAATTATTTTATTTATCCCCTTAAATTTTACAAATATTCGAAATATGCTATAACAATTGTCATTGTTATCATTTACTCCCTTCATTCCATAACTATGTATCAATTTGCTTTTTGTAAGGGATTTTAGAAATATTAGTATTATATTGAGATGTAATAGAAATAAAATAGAAATGACTAAAATAACCTTATTAGTATTGTGTGATATAAAGGTAATGACATTTGTGTAATATATTATAAGTTGTAAGGGTATTTGTAATGTTAGGTAGATATTACCATTATTAAAAAATAAAATTGATACTTTATTATGAGACGAAGTAAAATGAAAAAATACATAGTTTGTTATGAGACGGAGGGAGTAGTATTTATACTATTGATTAAAAGAAGTGATTTTTTTAATTACTTGGGAACCTGCAGTCGCTACCTGAAAATGCGCACTGGACAAACCCTGAAGAGAGGGGCTTGAACCCATGACCTAATAGTCACAAGTCCAATCCCTACACCACCAGGTCATTCGTTACGGGACAAAAAATATGTATGGAGTGCATGTGACAGTAATCTAACTATAAATTAATTTTATTTAATTCCTTTAAAGATTTTTTTGATTTCGATCATAAAAACTTACTATGAACAATGCATATTTTTAAATAACACTAGATATATCAATTTAACTCCAATCAACAATATAACCACCCCCTAATTAAACATACTATTTAATAAAATTTTCAAAATATCCATACATGATTTTTACTTTTATCTTCCATAACAAATTTCTGCCGCCGCCGTCACTTTTCGAACGACCCTTCAGCCGCCGCCGCTGTCAAATCATCCCCAAACCCACCGCTTCTCGCATCTCTCCTCGGTTCGTTAACCGGACCCGACCCGAATCCAGACCCGGGAACCCGAGCCGGAAACTGTCGGATCACACTATAAGGACTGACCGCCAATTGAGGCTGCTGCACTGCCGGCGGAGCAGAACCCGCCGCCGGCGGAAAAGAATTGTGACGTGGCAATGCAGATACCGGCGACGGCGGAATAGATGATACTGCATTCCCGACGTTAATTCCGCCGCCGTGCGATGGAGGCAGAAACGCATGCTGCGGCGGCGGCGGCTCCGGCGCGGCGGCGCAATCGAGATGCGCGTCGAACTCGCAGGCGGTGCAGTGGTAGAGCCACTGCTTGGCCCCGATTTTCCGGCAGACGTCGCAGGCGAAGCCATTGGAGGCGGCGTACGGATTCCTGAACACCAGGTGGAGCTCGCAGGACCCGTGCTCCGGGACCCTGATCCTCAGCGGCCGGCACGCGCACGTCACGTGCAGGTCGTACTCGCACCGCCCGCAGTGGTACGACCAGCCGTCGCCGCCGCGCTTGCAGCCGTCGCAGCTGAATGCGCCGCCGGGATACGCCGCCGCCGTCAGCAGCGACAGAACGCATCCGCCGTGAGCCGCGTGGGTAATCAGCGGCGGCAGCTCGGCGCACGATTGGTGGATTGCGAAGGCACATGGCAGGCACGTGAGCATTGCGCCGCCGGATCGGAGCCGGCAGGCGGCGCAAATCGGCGGCGCCGGCTGGTGGCGGTGGATGGAGATAGGGTGGAGCTCGTGTGGGTGGGAGAAATGCATTATTGGAGAATCCGGCGGCGGCTCCGCCGTCGGACGGGCGGTGGCCATGATATTGGAAGTTGGAACTGAATTTGATGGGGGACGATCGGGAGTATATATAAAGATGGGAAATGGGTTGACTTTGTTGACATGCAAAAAAGTCTTAAGCAAAAGTCAAACTGGACAACGCGGGAATTTAATGAGGGTATTAGCATTTTTCCCATGTATCCCCGCATTAATTACTCAGCGCAATGACAGCTATTTATTCAGTTTTAATTACCGACCTGGTCGGCTTTTATGTAGAAAATATTTCTGTTACAAGGGTTTTGTTTGGTTTTGGCATAAACAAAAAAGTCTATAATCTAATCTTATGCTTTTTTTTTTTTTTTATTAATTGTTATTCAAAAATATTTTTATTTTTTATTAAAAAAATACTAGATTTTTTTATTTCCTTTTACTATAAAGCAAGAATATTTTTATTTTTACCTATTTCTTTTTAAAATCTATGTCCAATCAAATTAATATAGTTTTGTATGACGGATGGAGAACTACTATTATTGAACCTGTATATTTAGGTTTTGTTCACCTATATATATATTTGTTTGGGATTCTTATTTATGGATAAATATATTAATGATGTATTTTTTTAATATATTAAATTTTTAGATGAGACAGTCATTTGCCTATTCAATATTATCAGAGTTTTATTTGTTGTATATGCATGTACAAATTTGGTATAATTCCACTTGTACTTTAGAGGTGTGTTGGAAACTTTCGTTTTGCGGATAAGATTTTTAAAAGTTATTTATATTCACATTTTTTATAAGAAAAAAATATAATTTAAAATATCATATTCAATAATTGTTTAATAAAAGAAAAATTGCAAAGTAAACACACTTTCAATTATTAATTCTATTTAATTCATTCCAAACATTTATTTATAAATATTGTTTCTTTGTTCTACGTATTTTCTTTTCTTTTCTTTTTTTAATAATCTTATTACTATTTCTGCTATAATGTTTTTATTATTATTTCATTTTTTTAGATCAGCGTAATTTAATTTTTTTATTTAAAATATTATATAGAATATATTTAGAATTATATATATAAAAAAATATTGTTAAAAGTTGTAAGAAGTTTAAATTACTTCTATATAATTTATTTCTATTTTTTATTTTCGTTTATCCCATATAATTTTTTTAAAAAAATATAATTATACATTTTAATTATATTTTAAATTTTATAATTTTTTTAATCTTAAAAATAATTAACTTATTTAGTTATCTTAATTTTAATTTATAATTATTTTTACTATATAGTAATTATTTTTACTAATACATTTCTTCATTACTTATTAATTATACTTTATCTAAATTCTCGTATCAAATTATCTATTTTTCCATTATAGTCTGTTCCACGACAAAGTATCAATTTCCTTTTTTAATAACTGTACTATCTACCTAATATTACAAATATCCTTACAATTTATAATATATTACACAAATATCATTAATTTTATATCACATAATACTAATAAGATCATTTTAGTAATTTTTAGTTTATTTCTTCTAAATCTGAAGTAGCTATTATGGGGACCGAGAGTATTATTATTATAAAAAATAAAGTACGAAGTCGATAGAAACAAATGTCAAATGTCCAGCTGCACTCACAAATTGAGACGGTGAGTCACACTGAGTCAGCGAGTTGAACGAGTCAAAAACTAATATGAGAAGAAAGCCAAATGAGAATTAGTCAAAATTATTCAATCATCTAATTAATTTAAGATATTTTCTAATTTTAAAAAATGTTGTTGTTTAACTCTAACTGATAGTACTTTCCTCCGGCTCTGGACCGAGCCCGTACGGATTTATTTTTGGATATTCTTCAAAAGGCCTCGTACTAGTGGAGTTCATTTGAGACTTATAAAGTGTGAAATTTTCTTCACAACTTCTAATATAGGACTTGAGTTCGCACAACAATCCTCTCCTGGAACCAAGGACCAACCAATGGACCTTCCCTGCCCATCTTGTACCGTCTATCACAAAGGGACTCGCTGCCTGACCATCTCAATTGGGACCTACCAAACACCGCCAAGAGACTTTCGACACAAGGCACATCCGCATGTCACGAGGGCGAGCCCGCCACCACAACCAATGCCCAATGCCACCCAGTCTACTTCACCATCTAACCGGGCTCTGATAGCACTTGTAAATGTAATATAGGACCTAATACTCGTAGTTTACAATTACTCGAACACATACGGAACAAAAAACAATGAACCTTTTATATATTTCGAAATCGAAGGAGTTCGGACTCAGGTTATCCAACACTCCAACTGTGTAGCAACATATACACACAACCCCAACCCAAACCCTATTGACATCCACGGAAACGCACAATCAGCGCGAATATAACCTCAACCGAAAGAAATTTCAAGATTCTAAGCCTAAATCATCGCGGACAACCAAATAACACCACGAACAGTATATAAAGGCAGAATCGAGAAATCAAACCGAAGAACAACCTTAGAATAGGCTGAATCACAACCGCGGTGGACGAATCTCAAGCTTCGATGGCCAAACTCGCTGGAAAGATCAAGCATAGATCGATCGCGATGCGTCGAGGAGGTTAGGGTTTCAGAGAGTATTGCGATGTGAAGAATGAGAGAATGAATTTTTCCACACACCGCCCAGACTATTCATTCGGCCGCCTCTCTCTCCTGTTCCAATTTTATTTATTAATTCCGTCCAAAATTTTCTATATCATGAAAATTTTTTGGATTTCCTTTGAAATTAGTACAAATTCTCAGACTCGGTGATAGGAAAGGATTTGAGGCTGTCAAATTCTGAAATTGATACTATTGTTTTTTAATTTGATTTCTATTTTGTTCGAAGAAGGATTTGCCATTTGAACCAATTATTTTTGCTCAGTAATATATAATATGTTTGAATTTAAAAAAAAAAGAAAAAAAAAAGAAGAAGAACGAGAAAAAGAAGAATGGTAACGGGTGATGTGTGATAGTCGTCTGCGGCGGACGATGAAAGAGGGATGGGCTTTTCGATTTCTTTCGTCGAAGATGATGAATTGAAAATTAGATTATTATTATTGTTATTATTATTATTATTTAATTAGATTTTTTTTAATGTAGGTAAAATGATTAAAATAGTCTTCTTTCTTAATTAATATATTTTGAGATGCCTCTAGAGGGATATTTTTGTAATTTTACATACTTATATATCAATTTTTGTATAAAAATTTCAGTGTAAGCGCATGAAACGTACTTTCCATTAAGTCCTAGTGGAAAGAGGGTTTTTTGCAACGTTTTTAAAACCACAAATAGATTTTATGAAGTTTTCAAATCACGGGGGTTCTCAACAAATTCATCAAATCACACGAGGGTTTTATGTTATTTTGCCTAATAATAATAATAATAATAATTTTAAAAATTTATCAAAATCTCTGCTAACAATGAGAGATTTTATTTTATACAAAATTTTCACAAATTTCGATTAAAATACATTAAAGTCTACTGATGGTTGAATATCTCATTATTTTAAAAGACTTTTAGTATTGAATACCTCCAAATTTCAACATATTTTTATATTAAATATCTCCCGATTTTAAAAGACTTTTAAAAGTTTAAATTGAATATATCTAAAAAGTTCAACAAAATCCTACACAATTTAAATTGAATACCCCCTAAATTTCACTCCTCTCTCTTTTTTATTTTTATTTTTATTATTATATATTAATAAATCTATTATTTTATTTTATACAAATTATATTTTTATACTATAATTTATTATATTTAATACTCCGTCTCATTGAAAAATTATTATTTTTCATTTTCGTCCGTTTCAAAACAAGGTTACCATTTCCTAATTTAGTAATTGTACTACCTATTTAACATAATAAAATACTCTTTCAATTTACAATACATTACACAAATATCATTACTTTTATATTACACTATACTAATAGGGGTATTTTTGTCTTTTTTACTACAATCCAATATAATATTAATATTAAAATATTTACATGCAAAAAGCAAAAGCCACCCTTCCAACGATTGAGTAAAATATTTTTTACATAAATAATTTAAGATTTAATTAAAACAATTACTAAATATAATTTAATCAGTTTTATATGATAAATATAACGATTTTACAGAAATAATTAATTCATAATATAAAATTTAAATTTAAATTATATCATATACTATTAGGGTGTGTTTGTTTGGGGGTTTGGATATTGAGTTGGAATTTGAATAGTAAAAATTTTGAATTTGAATAGTTGTATGATGTGATATAAATAGATGTTGATGTGATGTTTTGAATGTAAAATTGATTTTTAGTATAATATAAAAAATAAAAAATAGGTGTTTGATTTAATTTTTTGGGGAAAAAAATGGGATGAATAGTGGATTGAAAATCCAATCCCCAAACAAACACACCCTTAATTATTTCATATAATTAGATTTATTTATTATATTAAAAATTAAAAAAAATGCTTTTTCTTCTATATAGAGAATTCTCTTAGGTATTTGAAAGAATAATTTATCACGATGAGATGATAATGAATTTACGATTGTAAGATCGTCTAATATAATTGATAAGGTATGTGGCCATTAGAAATTTAAGGATGTGTTTGTTTTGAATTTTTTTATTTTCTTATTTTTTTATGTGAGGTTCTAGAAGAGAATACGTAAAATAATGAATATGTTCAGTATATTAATTTTATTGGGAAGATAGAAAGAACGCTTGTACAATTTCTTTAAAACATGGGGTCGAAACGTAATAACAAAAAGTAAAGTGGATGGTTTTCAATTTGAGATTAACATGCAATGAACCGAATGACCGACTCAAAACTCAGAATATAGCGCAGGAATGTTCCATGGCCATATAGCCTCGGGAGTCGAGCAATAAACGAACTGCGCGAATCGATCGTCGGAAAATATCAATCAATCGGTGAATTTTGGGGGAGATAAAGATAAAATGGCGCTTCAATGGATGATCCTGACGTACGTGGTGGCGGCGGAGGCTGCCATTGCAATTCTCGTCACATTACCATCGCCCAAGGCAGTGAAGTCTCGCATCGTATCGCTCGTCTCGCTCATTCTCCAGCCTTCGCTCTTTATAATACCCTTCGCTGGTTTTCAGCTCCTCGGTACGAAATACGAATCATTTTCGGTTTTTTAATTTTTAATTTTGTTTTTACTGTGAATTTTGGGGATTTTGGTTGTCGCAAATTGGTTTGGTTTTTGATGGAAGATATATACTGGAAGAATGAGCATCGGTTGATGTGCACGGGGGAGGTCTGTACGGCTGCTGAGAGGGATCGCTACGAGAAAGGGGTAATTGATTTGTGCTCTGATTCCTGTTCTTGTTATTGATTTGGTTTTTCTGAGCATATCTTGTGACTTTAGATCGGTGATTTTGGGAGGAACATTGTGGAAGCAATTCTGTTTATGAACTTGAAAATTGTTTTGTGTTCAAACTTGAGAAAGAACAACTGTTGGTTGGTTTGTCCAGGAAAATGAAATTGAGCTAAATATATATATATATATATATAAACGTTTCCTGCTTATGTTGATTTTAATTTTTCTGATTTCTTTGGTGGAATTCCTCGCTTCACCATTTTCAAGCACGAATTGTTGATTCCATAGTTGTCAATACCATGCTAATAGCTACCACCAACATAGTGACTTTTCAATTGAATTATATATTATAATTTTTATTATAAGTAGAGGCTCAAATAATTAAATTTTACAATATCATATTATATTCGTCATTAGGTAAATGTAAATTTCATACTATTATATTAAAGTATACTATAGCTACTTCTAGCTATAGAAAGTAAAAACATATTGTGCAATCCGACGAACATATAATGGAACAAATGAAGGTAAACGATATTCAAACACAGAGTAGTAGTGAGATGGTACAAATAAGGAAGAAAATTATTTTTTGGATTTTGAACTTGATTAACTTTGATTATCTATCTATCAAAGTAGTTTTGATCTAATTATTTTTGTTTATAACTATCTATAAACTATGATCAATTATCTTTTGAATTTTATTTGTTTGAATGGCAATTATGAAATTAATCTATAAGAAAAATATAGAATTCTTTTATGCACTTTTATGGTAAAGTTGTATATATAATAATTTTATACGTATATTCTTAAAATTTTAAATTCGGCCATCCTGCTATCAGCTATACTGCTATAGCATTTTAGAGGTTCTCCGCTATTTAATGCTATTTGATATTGACAACTATGGTCGATTCATGGAGATTGCTTGCTTAACTTCGTTCATGAATATATGTTGTGTCCATTCCTTGTGTGCTGAAGATTAGAGATTGATAGCAACAAAATGGTACTTTGGTTTATACTTAAAAATTATCGAAATGGATTTGGAAACTGATAGAGGACGCAGTTTATATATTTGCATAACCATGCAAATATTCGAAGTATTTTACTTCTAAAATGATATGTTCTCTTTTATTGATTCAACCTAGCATATATGGTAATAGTCAGAATTCAGGACAATGTTCAAACATCTTTCACATAGCTCTTGCATTTTTATCGATTTATTTTAGTAGTTATTAAATTTTATGTGAGATCTACACATTATGTGCCTTGTCAATATAATTCGTCAGCTGTTTATTTATAAAAACAAATTGCTTCCCCAGATTTTTTCCGTGGGAAACAGTAGATCTTTATACTGTATTGGCTTTTGTGTAAGGCTATAAGCGCAAACGGTGTTCTTAACCTCTGCTTTATATGTCGATACAGATATACAAATCTCAGAGGAATGCGGCACTATGCGTTGCTTCTTGCCTCCTATATTGGTAAATGACACACACATTCTTGCGTAGTATCTTTCAGAAAACTATTAATGCCCACTTTTTAAATATTCCGTTGCTTCAAACATAGCTGTCCGTAGCACACTAATAGTGGTGTAGCGGCTGCTTTGCGAAGCCAGTTTTATGCAATAGCTGCATAACAACTTTTTAACGGTGCATAGCATAGCGCTTGTAAATATATAATGATATTATAATCTTTATTATTATAAGTAGATTTAATATTGTGTTATTATGGACAAATGTAGCTTTTATACTATTATATTATATTCCTTCCGTCCCACCTACAGTGTACACATTGCCATTTCTGTCTAATGTCACTTTTTTTTTTTCAAAAAAATGATTACACACCTTAATTTTATTTTAAATTTTCTTACTTTTAATTAGATTAATTAATTATTTTAATCTTAATTTATAATTATTTATATTATAGGAGAATTATTTTTACTAATGCATTCATAATTATTTACTAATTATACTCATCCTAAATTCTCGTGTCTATAGTAATTCGGACATGATAAATGGGATGGAGGGACTAGTATACTATAGATACTTCTAGCTCTAGAAAAGAAAAGAACATTGTGCAATGTAATGAACATACAATGAGAAAAATGAATAAAAGTGAAGAAGATGATAAAAAGTGTATAAATATTCATACAAGAGTGGCAATGAAGATATAAAATAAGGAAGAAAATTATTTATTAGATTTTTAAAACTGTATAACTTTGATTATCTATCTATCAAAGTAGTGTGATCTAACTGACAACTATGGCTTCAAAACCCGGTCCAGGTGCATCTATCGTGTTTGCAAGTATAATAGAGAGATCCACCGCTTGGAGGAGATGGAGAAGAGGTTCAAGGATGAGTAATAGCTTTCCTTATCCAGTTGTTTTTTTTTTTTTTTTGGGAAAACAATAGACAGAGGATTTCAATTAGCTCTATGAAAAGTGATTGAGTTGAGGCATGTTTAATGGTGCTTTTGTTGTTCTGCGCTGTAACTTTGGTTCCTCTAGTTCCAAGAAATAAACGTAGTCGATGGATAATACTGTCGTACCATAACCTGCAATCTTTGTATTTCAAATACCGGAAGTCCGATTGATATATCTTAGAATAAATTACCATTCTCCTCAGTGTTTGTGTTCTTTGAAGTGCCCTCAGGATGTGACTTCAATACAACAGGTGTTGATTTGCCCCGGTTAATACATAATACAATATATGTGTTATATAAAAACATGTGTTGTGCGATTTATATTTGTTTGTATATTGTATGGATACACTTATTGTGCTTAAATAAATAGTGGCATGTGCTGTATGGAATTATATCATCTGTTTTCAGGTTATGTATTGTATTTATATTATATTAACATAATTCACATGCTGCCTGTCAGCACTGCACAATAACAGCTGCTGGTAATAGTTATATATGTTGTTAGTTGCTGCAGTTCTTCTATATTGATTAAATTTTTTCCTAAGAACATGTTTAAAGTTAGATTTAATTTATCCTGGGCCAATGCATAGAAGTTATATACATTCTTAGTTGTTGTAGTTCTTCTATATTAATTAAATTTTTTCCTAGGAACATGTTTAAAGTTAGTTGTAATTTATGCCGGGGTGACACATAAAAGTTATATACGTTCTTAGTTGTTGCAGTTCTTCTATGTTGATTAAATTTTTTCCTAAACATGTTCAAAGTTAGATGTAATTTATGCCGGGCCGATGCATAAAAGTTATATACAATCTTAGTTGCTGTAGTTCTTCTACATTAATTTTATTTTATTTTTCTTGGGAACATGTTTAAAGTTAGATGTAATTTATCCGGGCCGATGCATAAAAGTTATATACGATCTTAGTTGTTGCAGTTCTTCTATGTTGATTAAATTCTTTCCTAGGAACATTGTTTAAAGTTGGATGTAATTTATGCCGGGCAAGTTCTAATGGCTGAATATGTTTTCATGGTTTGATCTATTCTAAGTTCTAACCCTACCGAGCAGGTGGCAAATGCTTTGCAAAAGTTGCTGTCTTTGATACAGGTAGAAGAGGTTGCATCGGCACCGGATATTGGAATTTACACTTTTGTCCTTCGGATATTATCGCCCTCCGGTTATTCTGGAGCCCAGATCAGGTAAACTATTTATACTAACTTTCTGCATCTAATAGAGCTTAGTTTTATTGCAACCTAATTTTACATGGTTTTGTTCATATTGGAAGATAATAATTCACAATGAGTTCTTCTTCACATTGAGTGCAACCTATGATTGTTCTTGAATTGTTAGAGTGCATGTTTGTTTGTGTTTTCAAGCATTTTGGGGAAATTATATTTTTAATAAAAGTTAGGTTTGGAATTTTGTTATGTTTTGAATTTAAAAAATGGGTTTTGTATGGTGTTTTTGATGTGATTTTCTCTCTTTTTTTTTTTAATAGTGGATTTGATGTGATGATTTGTTAGAGAAAATAGCACGTAATTTTATATATATATATATATATATTGTATATGAAAAAAACAGTACCAAGTAAAAACCCCAAAGTAGGATGCTTAAATTGATAATTGATAATTCATAATTGATATATTAGATATTGTATTTTAAATAAGCCTTTGATGTAATATATATTACTAAATTCTAGTGTATAATGAACATTGGATTTTTGGATTTGATGTAATTTTTTTTTAATGTTGAATAAATAATGTCAAAACAAATTCAAAATCCAGAGGTGTGTTTTTTTGTGAGTTTAGGGCTCCATTTAGATAGAGATTTTTTTAGTTTCGAAAAAAATTTAGATGGGTAAAAAATTAAAATTTGATATGATATTTTGTATATAAAAAAAATATATTTGATGTGATGTTTTTGAAAAATTATGATAGATGAGTAGTTTCAAAAGTGTCTTGTGTAAATAAAGTCTGGGAGTTGGGTTTTGAACTTCAAATTATAAAATTTTGAATTGCAATAATTGTTTGAGGTGATATAATAGATATCGACATAAAATGAATTTTTAATATAAAATAAAAAATAAATATTTAATTTAATATTTTTATGAAAAAAGTTTTACAAGTACTAAAAAAAATTGAGCTAAAACGCTCAAACAAACACGCCCAAAGAAACAGATCCTATTTGCATTATTGTAATAAAAAAAGTAGTTTGATACTAAATATCACATGTTTAGCAAATTGTGTTCCACCCCACCCCACCCCACCCACCCCTTTCTTTTTAAATTTCTTTTGTGATATTAAAATGAGCAGGAAAGTACTTATTGATTGCATGATATTTTGTGATCAAGTGCCCCTCATCCTCTATTATTTGTTTTTTTTTTTTTATATTTATTTTTTCCTCTCATTTTTATCTGTTGATCTAACTTTTATACAAATTTCTTTCTACTAAATATATATATATATATATTATTATTATTTTGGTACATAGTTTGTGTTTTCTAGCAAAATTATTCAGGCAGAATCTTCTCTTCTCTTCTTATTATCTTTGTTGATATGATGAAATTTTATAAAGTTACACGTGTAAAAAGTACATTGTGTATGTGTGGCAGTAGAACTTTGGAGAAGGAGATGAGATGAAAAACAAACAAAAAGTAACACCCAAAAAGAGAAAAGAAAAAAGCATAAAGAAAATAAAATAAAATAAATAAATATAAAAAGCAAAAGGCGATAGATAAGATGTCAAACACATGCAAAAGAAAATTAGAAGATACCCAATTTATTTACAACCCCAAAAAATGCCTTTTGGAATGAATGACCTCTACTTTGCTTGAGAAGGATCTAAAGACAAAACGGGCTCCCTTCTCTTCTTTTTCCTTTCCTTTCATTTCTAAGCAGATATTTGTGTTTTTTGGATTAATATATTTTTTATATTATATATGAAAAATTATATTGGTAATATATAAAAAAAAAAAAATGCTTTCTCCCGCCCCAATCAAATGAGTTATTTAAAGTTTTATAGTAAATTAAAAAATATTGGTATTTTATTAGTTAATGAAAGTGTGTAAGAGATTTTAGTATTAAAATATAGAAAATGAGAAAGGGATAATTTTGAGTGGGACAAACAAATATAGTAAAAAAAGTACTTTGTGTTGAATTGTTAATTTTTATAAATGGGTAAAATATATATATATATATTTCATACTCTCCATCTGACTCGTATGTATTCATTTACATTTTACACATGAATTTTAGTATATTAGTATTCTATAGGTAATAGTATAATAATAATAATAATAATAATAATAATAATAATAATAAACAATTTTGCCCTTGAAGTCATTTATTCTTTAATGACATTGTTTTGTAATGTTATGTAAAATGTAAGAGTATTATTTTATTAAAAAAAAAAAATAGTTACGTATGACTCGGGTGGAGGGAGTATATACTATGTTATTATTTTCTAATAATATTTTATGGATAATCGTTCTATTTAAAAATTCTAAATGAACAACCGTAAATTTGAAAATATTACTAATATTTTGTGTGATAGGTAGTCTATAATTGTGGATCGATTAAAACTTTTAGAATAGGATGAATATTGATGTAGAATAAGATTGGTGAAAGGTTGGTACAATGGATATGTTGTCAAATAAGATATATATTAAGTTATTTTAAGTAAAATGTAAGAGTAATTTATTATTTATGTGGAAATTATATTTATTAAATTAGAAAATAAATAGATTAATTGTGGACGGTTGACGTATTTTAAATTTACATATTTTGAAATGATTTATTTTGTTATTACGATGTTTTACATTCAATTTGTTCGGGTGCGGGCAATGATATCTTGAGATATTTTTATTTTATTTTTTTGTATATTATATAGTGTCACAATGTTAGGTGAAAATATATATAAACTAAACTATAATTTTTGTTTAGTATTTATGCACAATTATTACTTTTTGTGTATATTTTAAAAAATATTTTATGGTTATATAAGTTTAATTTATACCAAATTTAGCAATCGGCGCCAATGTTATATGCTATTTGAATTACGTTACATTCGCGTAATTTTGGTCGTAACATTTGCTGACAATTGAAATATCGAGTACCAAGTACAATGATGTGTTTGGATGTTTTATTTTCTTTTTTTTTTCTTTTTGTATATTATATGTTATGATAATATTACAAAAAATACATATGCACCGAACTATATATGTTTTTTTTAGTTATGTGAAATTCACATTTTGCGTATATTTTCACGATTATTACCTGGTTATATAAGTTCAATTTTTATACAATTTTTCTTATAATATTTGATGAGAATGTTGAATGTTATTTGAATTATCTAACATTTGCATAATTTGGGTCATAATATTTGCTGACAATCGAAATATCGAATACTAAGTTTATATTGTAATATCCCTTGAAATATAATACACATCATCAAATGAACCACAATCACTATATTAAATTCTTATAGATCAAATGATGAGATATGTCTCGTTTAAAAGTTTTTATTTTATAAAAAGTTGTACTTTCTCCGTCCCAAACAAGTGGCAATATTTGTTTTTGGCACGAGTTTTTAGGTGGATAGTCTTAAGTATGATAATTTAGAAATTAGGTGATGTGATGGAGAGAGAAATATATATTTTAATTTTTTTTTATTTGGATGATGTGAGAGGATAAAGTGTGGGGTAGAGATTAAGTATAATTAATTATTTCCTATTTTGAAAATATTGCAGAGTGTTCGGGACATACCAAAAAAGAAATGTTGCAGTTTGGGACAGAGGGAGAGGGAGTACATGTTTATAGTAACATATGAATTGTTTAAATAAATTAAAAATTCTACAAATATTATAAATAACACTGATGCTATAATTATAATATTTTATTTATCTCATACTATTTTTATTATGTTTCACTTAAAAGTATATTTTTTCAATTTTAGAAACACTATACTAAAATGCCTTTTTAACTTTTACTTAAATTACAACATATTATTACATATATAATTACCTTCTACGTAAAATTAAATGATAAAAATATCAAAAAAATTTTACACACTTACCATAATTAATAAAAGTAAACTCCAAATGCCTTTTTCATTTGGGAGAGAGGAATAATATTTTTCAAATGTATATCTTAACAACGCTGTAATACATATACATCTATAAAATTATCAAAAAAAAAGATAAAAATTATCCAGTGCGCACTTTCGGACAACGGTTGAAATATTTGTTCGATTTGGGTATTATTTGCAATTTTTTTAAAAAAAAAATTGATTGACTATTCAATTTCTCAATTAAATTATTACAATTTTCAAAGCATTAAAACCCAAAAACAGATAGGCTAAAAAAACAAAATTACTTAGGTGAAAATTTGTTGAATGATATGATTGTCCTTTTTTCAACCCAATACTGCACCGAATTTAATTTCTATTATTAGTATGTTGGGAGAATATATATATATATATATATACTTCCTCCTTTCCATTGGAATGGTGATATTTATTTTTTTCACATAAGTTTTTGAATATTAGTATTATATTGGATTGTAATTAAAACGACAATAATACCCTTATTAGTATAGTATAATATAAAAATAATGATATTTGTGTAATATATTGTAAGTTAAAAAGGTATTTTGTTAGGTATATAGTACAATTACTAAATTAGGAAATAGTAACATTGTTTTGAGACAGATGAAAAATAAAAAATGGTAACATTTCAATGGGACAGAGGAAATATATATAATATTCCTTACACCCCAGATAAAAAATATCAATATTTTTATTCCGATTCATCCCACATAATTATTTTTTTTAATCATATTTTAAATTTTATAATTTATAATTTTATAATATAATTAAATTATTTAATTATTTTAATTTTAATTTATAATTATTTTTTTACTGATATAGTACTTTTTAGTGTACTGTAGGTCAAAGAGGCAAAGTAGGATGGCAACTTTATCTTCTTACAATGTGTCTGAGGAGTTGTGATGAAAATATGAAATTAAAACATACATACAGACAGATAATTAAATGCTCTCTCTCTCTCTCTTCTCTAGAGAGAGAAAATAAATGAAATTGTTTCAAATTTGATTTGATTTTTTGTTTTAGTTATGGTGAAATTTAATGTTGTTTAGAGAGTAATATATTATTTTATAAAAAAATATATTAACTCCGTCCACCGTCAATCTATCCATTTACTTTTTACATGTTAATTTTTGAACATTAATTATATGAACTGAGGTAATATTAAAAAAAAAAACATAAAAGAGTCTATCTATATATTTTTATTTTAAGATATATATAGATATAAAAAAATATTTTTTATTAATTTGATTTCTTCATGATTTATATTTGTATGGATGAAAGAGATGTATTGATCTGTTTGCACAAATAAATTTGAAAATTTTGACACTATTCGACTTTAGAAAAATATAGAAAATATATCATAGTAAATATAATTTTTTTTTTAAATATCACATAAAATACTAATACTTATTAGTTCTAAATTTCTAAAATTCAAAATCTTTTTGAAAATTCTGTCTAAATAGAGTCGTTGAGATTGTGTATAATTTATTATTATTATTATTATTATTATGTGTTTTTTATATTTTTAAATCAAATTAATTACCCCTCCGTCCTATAAAATGACAATATTTATCTTTTACATCATTATACTTAATGTTTAAAGTATTTTTATATTTGTATAATTTACTCTACGAATGTCATTATATTTATATTATAAAAAACTAATATGAATAATTTTGTCATTTTCTTTACATTTGAACTACGCATTAATATAATAATTAATTTTTAAAAATCAACTTACAAAAAGTTCATGATACTCTTTCTATGAGATGAAGATAGTATTTAAAATATTTAATTATCTATTTCTTTTAAAAAAAAAATTGATCATATATATTAGTTTTCATTTTAAAAATATGAATACCACTGCATATATAAGAAATAACAATATAATATTATAATATTACAATTAATATATTAAAGTATACCAATGATCATCTTACTCAGATAGAGCAAATATTAATTTGTATATAAAAATAAATAAATAAATATTGAATATACCTTTTTTTAAAAAATAAATAAATTATGTATATATATATATATAAGAATAATAGAGGTAGGTTACTTTGATAGGGAGGGTAGGGGGAATAAATGTGTGTGAGTGACACTGATTCTGATTCAGAGTGGGTAAAAACTATAATTCAGAAATAAATGAGGGAGTTAATAGTAATAAATTTGTCCGAACGAACGAGCTATGACTATGAGAGTGACCAGTCATTTTTTTCTATTACAACTTGTGGCACTGAAAAACATGCATTCTCTCACATTTCTTTCATTCATTCATTAATGCGCTCTCTCTCTCTCTCTCTCTCTCTCTCTTACTTTTTTTTTAATTATTATTAATATTTCTTTCATATTATATAATTTATTTTTATTTTTTATTTATGTTCAAATTATAATATATTGTATTATACTTCGGCCGTTTCATAACTATAATCTAAATTGTATTTGACACGGTGGGTAAAAAATACGGGTAAAAGATTTTCTTTTCTTTGTGAGTGTATTAGTGTAAAAAAATAATAGAAATTGTGTAATAATAATGAAAAAGTAACGATAGTTTTATAGTGATATGATTATTTATAGAAATAAAACTATTGTTTTAGGACGGACAAAAATGATAAACAAAACTATTATATTGGGGCTCCCTCAGTCCCGGTCCAAATGGGTCGTTTGGAATTTTATAATAGATTAAAAAATAATAATATTTTATTAGTTATAGTAGGAGTGTGTAAGAGGTTTTGACATTTTTGTCTTTTGATTTTACGTAAAAAGTAATGTTATATTTGTAATTTAGGTAAAAGTTAAGAGTATTTTAGTATTAGTGTATGATTACTTTTACTAAAATAAAAAAGTGATACTTTGAAGTAAAACGAACAAAAATGGTAAAAAAATATACTTCGAGTTGAGACAGAGGGAGTATTATATATATATATATTGTATTATCATATACCGTGAAATGTGGTGTTCGTTTTACTATTTTTTACTGACCAAATCAGGATCATATTGAAGCATCTTATGAAACATGTTTGTAATATTTTGTATAAAAAAATAAATATTAAATTGATATATATTATATAGAAACAAATTTTGATGATTTTGCAAAATATATAGAAACCCTAAACCCCCGACGTCTCAGGTCACCTGCCACACATGGTTCGCTTAGTGTGACTTTTTCGTCGGGCTTGGTTTGCAGGGTATTAGGTTCGGCCGGGAGTTTACCCAGTGTGCACTTTCGGGTAGCGGCTGCGGGTTCCTACATCATTAAAAAAAAAATAAAAATAAAAATGTCAATAGATAAATTTTCAAATAAAAAACACCTAGAACACTTGGATGTGTTTGTCTTGTGTTTTTAAAAAAATGTGTTTTTTAATGTTGTATATGAAACACAATATAGAATTTATTTATTTATTTATTTTTTTGTGATTTTAAATTAAAATTGATACTATTTATTTATTTTTATAATTTTTAATAAAAATATACTCTTATTTTATCTTATACTATTTAAATAAAAACTTAAATAAAATAGTATTACTCTCTCCGTCCCATGTAATAGGGGTGTATTACTGTAGACATGAAAATTTAGATAAAGTATAATTAGTAAGTAATTAAGAAGTGTATTAATAAAAATAATTATTATTTAATAAAAATAATTATAGATTAAGATTAAGATAAGTAAATAGTTTAATTAAAATTAAAAAAATTATAAAATTTAAAATTTAAAATGCAATTAAAATGCATAATTATATTTCCAAAAATAGAAAGGACAAGTTATGTGAGACGGACGAAAATAAAAAATAGAGACAAATTATACGTGACAGAGGGAGTATATTTTAAATCAATATCAAACCACAATCATACAAACATGAAATTTGAATTAATTTACATTGACTATATTCATTTGCATTTTATATTTAAATAGCAGTTGCAATATTTTTATTAGAGTAAATAGCATTATTTGTCTAATCACAATATATTTGTTTTGCTATTTTTTATTATTTATCTTCATCTACTATTATATATTATAAAAACCAACAAATTTGTATTTTATCAATACAGTTACACTAATTTATACCTAAAAAATAAAATAGTTTTTACATATATAAATTTCAATCCACTACAATTAAAATATACTTTATTTTCATTTTCGTCCCTTTGAAAGTAAATATTTATTTTTCACACATAGTTTAATAAATTTTATATTTTAATAATAATTTGTGATAGTTTTGTATATAAAAACTATTTTATCCTATGATATTTAAAGTTAAAAGAGATTATTGATGTAAATAAATATAAATGTAAAAGTATGCTTAACATGTAACGAAATTCATACATATTAAAAAGAACATAAATATTTTGTATTTAAATTTATAAAAAAATGACTATATATTCTCTCCTCATTTCAAAGTTCATTTTGTACCATTTTCGTTTGTCTCATTTCAAAATATTTATTTTCTTTTATAGTAAAAGTAATTATATATTAATACCAAAATATTATTAACTTTTATTTAAATTACAAATATATAATTACGTGTATATATATATATAAAGTCAAAAAGTAAAAATGTCAAATCTTTTTATCACTTCAACTGACTAATAAAATAATATTATTTCTTAATCTACTACAAAATCAAAATGACTCATTTCAAAAGTAGTTAAAAGTAGGATTTGTAATAAACCAACAAATAGAATATATTTTTATAAAAGTTAATATATACTCTCTACGTCCAGTCACAAATTATAAATATTTTTATTTTAGACATTCAATTACAAAGTAAACATTTCATTAAATACTTTTTTTTCACAAATACCCTTAATTTACATCACATCGTTACTTTTACATAAAAAAAACAATGGCAAAAATATCATTACACTGCTTTTAACTACCTACCGCGTCAAAAGTAATTGTATATTTTATGAGTGGACGGAGGGAGTATATCATATAGTCAAATAATACAAATTTATAATAAAATCAACTATTAACTCCCATTGTTATAATTTATTTTTTTTAACAAAAAGAACTTTTTTTATTATCATAGTTGAAACCAACAATGGAAAATCAAATAAAGAAATCATAAGAAAATAAAAATAAAATTATCAAATTTGTAGCAAGTCCCGGAGCTTGTGCTTGCAAGAATGGCAGGTGAGTTGTAGTACGGTCGCGTTCATTTGACGCGCCGCCTGCTCCTTCATCACCTCCGCCTTCTGCAGCTCCGCCTGCGCCTCCCGCCGGATTCTCTTCGCATGAGCAAATTCCCTCTCCGCCACCTCTATCTGCCACCGCGCCCGCTGCCGTGACTCCTCCGCATGCGCCTTCTCCGCCACCGCCACCCTCACCTGCTCCGCCGCATCGCCGCCGCCGCTGCTGCTCACCGCGTTCACATTCTCGCCGGCTTCCGACGAGCCGATCGATAGCTGCAGCTGCGTCGTCGACTCCACGCCGCCGCCGCCACTTGTGGCTTTGGTCAGAAGCTGCAGCTCGAGATCTGGCGGCTCCGAAATAGTATTACTACAACCATTTCTTCCGCCGCCGCCGCCGCCGTTCTCGGCGGCGGCGCCGATTAGCTTTGGCGCCCAAGGAGCGCGAGCCGAGCTGGTGATCCACGGCGCGACGACGCTGAGATTAGTGTCGCTGGACTGACTTGTACTCGACGCGGCTAGCGGCGGCGGCGCAGCCGCCTGGGGCCGGCGGCACTCCGATCGGAGCCGACCCATGTCGCAAGCGTCCTGATGCTCTATGAAACTTTCCACTCTGTATTAAAAATTTTAAATTAATTAATTAATTAATTAAAAACATTAATTCCGACATTCCTTCACGGAATTTAAGAATTAATTCTTAATCAATCAAAAATCATTCAAATTAATCAATCCCATGTTCCCTCGTTCAATTTTTGTTACTCCTCCTCGTTTGATCGAACAAGAATTAAAAAATATAGAAAATAGATAAAAAAAAAAAAAAAAAATTAATTTATTTTAAAAAAATATAGAAAATGGTATTTTTTCTATAAAAAAAAAAAAGAAAATAAATTTGAACAACAAACTCAGTCTATAACATTGCAATTTTCTATAAAATCATATCAAATTTTCATATAAAAATATTACTCTATCGGTGTCCATTTTGATTGATTGTATTCGACATTAAAATATTTTTATATTTATATAATCTATTTATACAAATATTTTTATTAATATTTTATAATATTAATATAATAATATTTGTACTATATTTTGATATAATAATTAAAATTTAAAAATTAATATCCAAAAAAAATAAATATGACTTAGAGTCGAACCTAAGAATAATACTACTATATAGTAAAAATATTTAAAAAAATAAATAAATTAAAATGATTAAGCTTTGTTTAGATATAAATTTTTGAAATATTTTAAAAAATATAAAAAATTAATATTTGATTCAATATTTTGTAAAAAAATTATATTTGCTATAATATTTTTTAAAAAATTAAATAATGTGTATTCACAGTCTAAATTAAGAGTAATAGTAATAAAAAAAATGGATAAATTACCTGGAGAAGACGCGTCCACAGTCGCAGGAGTGGCCGCGTGTGCCGCACGTCTTGAGGTGCGCCTTGTAGTCGGACTGCACGGCGTATCCTTTGGAACACTTCCCGCAGACCCACTGCCGCCGGTTGCTGTGTTTCCGCCGGAAGTGCTTCTTTATCCCCACGAGGTCCCCCAGCGCGTGGCACGGGTCGTGGTGGAGGCAGCTCGCCTCCGGGCACACGAACACGCGCTTCCTCGCCGGCGGCGCGTCCCTCTTCAGCAGCTTCCACGGCACCTTGTGCCGCCGCCGGTGCATCTGTAAATTCTGGTCCCGCTGGAATCCCTGATTGCAGATCTCGCACACGTAACGGTCCGATTCCAGCAGCGTTTTAGGCGACAGCGACACCACTTCCGCATCTGGATCTGCTCCTCAAATTCAATCAAATTTGTAATCCTCAATTTTTATTTTTATTTTTTTAAAAAATTAGGTTTTGATATTGATCGAGAATTTCTCATTGATTACCAGGAGTTCCGGCGGGGCGGCGCTTGCGTTTTCCGGCGGCGGCGATGGTCTCGAACGGCGGCGGCGGCGCCTCCGATGAGGGAGAAGGATCAATGGCGGCGGCGTTCAACATGAGTCAAAATCAATTTGGAGCTCCGGCGGCCGGTCGGATTCTGACAATAGCATGTATATATATATATGTATGTATGTATGTATAGAGAGAGAGAGGAGAGAGAAAGGGGGGGTTATAAAGAAGCGATGGGCGGAAAGAAAAACAATGGAAAAGGCACTTTTTTCTTTCCAGCTTTATTAATAAAACCTCGAATTCCAATCTCTCTCTTAATTTGAGTTTCTCGCTCTATCTTTTGAAGCTTTTGTATATACAAATGGAGAAGTGATAATGAAGACACACATATATAGATACAATATGTATACATACATACATGGATGGATGTTGTTGATTTTGGAGGAGATCGAAGAGAGGGTATAATAAGCTTGAAAAGAGAGAGAGTCAGGGACAGAGACAGGAAGATACAGGGGGGGTGGGGTAGGGTAGGGTGGGGTGGGGTGAGGGTGGAGGCAGAACCAGAGGCAGACTCATCGTCGTTATTATTGCATAGAGATACAGTGAATATTTTTCGGGATTTTTTTTTTTGCATGCACATATAAATATATATAGAATGTAATGTGTATGTATACATACGAGTATATTAATGTTTGTATGTATAAGTGGGTAAAATATATTTTTAATTTACATTATAGAGATTATGTGTTTTAAATAAGTCATAATTCAATTTGTTTATTATCATGTTAGATTTGTATTAATAATTGAATTGAATTTTTAACCTGAATTCAATTATTTCGAATGGAATTAATTTTTACGGCACAATTGTTCAGCATATCTGAAGTATAGAAATAACACCGGCATGTATTAAATATTACCTCCATCCGGCTCTAAAGGTCTCATTTACCTTTCTACGTATTAATATTTGAATATTAATTATTATATAAAAAAATAGTACAAATTTTTAAAAAAAAATTGCAAAAATACTTCCATTAGTGTCTTATAATACTAATAGAAGGATATTTGTACAAAAAAATATATATATACAAATATAAGGATATTTTTAATGCTAAGTACAATGACGTAAAATGTAAATGAGACCCTTAGAGAGGGACGGAGGGAGTAAAATATTGTGTTGTCCCGTAAGGGATAACCTAATGATGTAGAATGAATTCGTGACCGTTCATGTAGTGTAACTTGTTTTATCGAACGTAACTAATATTTTGTCCATTTTATTGTAGATATGAGAATTTAGGAGGGGTATAATTAGTAAATAATTAAAAATATATTTATGAAAATAATTATAGTATAATAAAAATAATTATAGATTAATATTAAGATAATTGATTAGTATATTAAAATTAAAAAATTATAAATTAAACTTTTTAAAATAATATTAAAGTGTATAATTCTTTTAAAAAAAATGATAAAATAAATAGGACGGACAGAAATAAAAATGTGAATATAAGAAGTGGGACGGAGAGAGTAACATTTTGAATACAAATATGATAATATGATAAATCTAATGGACAGACAAAAAGAATTGAGAACAAATAAAACATATTTTAATTGCTAGATATTATAATTATCTAAAAATATTTTATTATTTATATATTAAATCATAATGAATTATTGATGAAAATTACCTTAAAATTATAAAAATTAAATAGTTAATATTAACAAACTAAGAAATGAACTAAAAATTATTAAGATTATGATTTATTTTTTTTACAATTCCGTTATTTTAATAAAATAATTTTTATTCATATTTTTTAATAAAAATATATGATTAGTTTTAATAAATTTTATCAAAACAAAATTACAATTCTACGAAATATTTTTATACTTTTTAATAATTAACAAAAATAAAAAAATCACAACTAACTTAAGCACTAAAGTAACAAATGGAGTATTTTTTTAAGATATGATTTTGTTCCTATTTTTAATTAAAAAAAACATATATTTTTTATTTAATATATTATATAAAATATTTTTTTATTTTAAAATATTAAATTAAATATTATTTCCAATTCCAAATCTATATTAAAATATATATATATATATGCACACTTGAGATTAATATTACTCCAATATCGCATAAGAAGGATATCATTTTCTATTTTTGCCTGTCTAAAAAAAAAAATATCATTTTTTAATTTAATAACTGTACTACTTACATAACATAATTAATACCCTTGCAATTGTCAATATATTATATAAATGTCATTACTTTTTTATTACACAATTCAATAAGGGTATTTTTGTCTTTTTTACTATAAATCAATATATAGTGAGTAATTAAAAGTAGTGTAATGATATTTTTGCCCTTATTTTTTGGTGTAAAAGTAATGATGTGATATAAAACAGAGATATTTGTGAAAAAAGTGAAGTATTTAATGAAATATTTACTTTATAATTAGATATCCAAAAATAGAAATATATATACTTTTTAGCAGGACGGTGAGAGAATTAATTTTAAAAAATGTACATGCGAAAAACAAATGTTACTATTTTTTCGGGAGGAAGGTAGTATCAAATTTAAATAAAATAATCAAATTTTTAAATATATATATATATATATATATATAATAAGGAGTAAAAGTTGTACTTTTAGGTGTGGGTATAGCGGTAGATGTAATGATGAAATTACATATTTAGACATGTCTTTTGGTTGGATCCCTACGACTATTCGTACAACATTCTTCCAGGCCATAGCATATTTTGGCTGTTGCTGTTGTTGCTTTTTATTTTTTATTATTTATTTAAATTTTTTTTTCAATAATTTTTATTATAATACTACAAATAAATATTACAAGAATATAAAAATACGACTATGGGTTTGAATTAATAAATTGAATACACACAGAGAAGAATGGAAAATACACTTGGCTGCTTCGTTCAAGGACTTTTTTTTTTTTTTGAGATTGGAATTTTGATTTATATGTGATAAGATTTAATTTATTTAAATTTGAAATTCTATCCTATATTTGGTTGGAGGTGTTTGGTTCAAGGATTTTGATTTTTGATATTTTAAATGACGTAATTATTCTTCCACGAATTTTATTTATTGTGATAAATTAAACTTTACATCCATTATTTTTTTTTCCGTAAACTTTATTTTTTACTAAATTTAGTTTATTCTAATAAAAAAAAATTTAATACGATTTTTAATTAATAATAAGAAGATATAATATATATATTCATACAAAATATATATTGTAATATATAATCTATATATTAAAAAATATGACAATTTAATTATTTTTTATACTATCGACATTCTTTCTCATATTTAATATAGAAAATAATATAAACTAAAAATACAAAATTAATACACCATTAAAATAAATTTAAATTATTATTTGATATTTTAAATTACTAATTTATTTAAATTATCATTAGTAAAAGAATTAAATATATATAACATTTTTATAAATAAATATATAATTTGTAACAGTATGCTTAAATATAATATTATATTTTGTAAAATCAATAAAATATAATTTTAAATGTAAATATATATTTATATACATTTAATATTAAAAGGAAAAAAATATAATTTTTTTATGGGAGGGTATAATAGTAAAATAAAAAATACAATGAAATGGAATTTTAAAGTAACATGGTATACTATTACTGAAAAATCCTGTATTTATAGGATTTTAAAATTCCATGCACTTAAAATTTCATTATCAATTTTATAACAAAACATGGATTCATTATGATTTTAAAATCCAAATTCTATGGAATCCCACCAAATCCATGAACCAAATAGCCGCTGAAGTATGGATCTATCTAAATATAAAGTATATATATATTTTGAATTAATAAGATTTCAATAAATATTATAAATATCTTTAAATTTATATTATTTATATAAGAAATTATTATATAGTAAATTAAAACATAAAATTGAGATAGTATTTAAATATAAAAAAAATATCAATTACTATTAAAATATAATATTTTTATGATCAAAATTAAATATACAAAACGTGTTTGACAAATAATATTTTTTAAAAATTTTTAGTTATTTTATCAGTCAAAATTAATTTAGATTTTTGGTAATTAGTGTTTTAAAATAATTTTTGAAACATTTTACATTAGTTTTTTCATTTTATTTTTTTATTTTTTATTTACTCTTTATTCTTTTATTATTTTATTCATACATATTAATTTATTTTTTACACTATTTATTAATTATTTAAATATATATTTTTAGTCACTTATAAATTTATTTATATATATATGTCACATAAATTTTTTTATTATATAAATATATTTATTTAAAATTGTAAATTTAATGAGAAAATAAATTAGTTTAAATTTGTTCTTTAACATTTATTATTTGTTTATTATTTATATAGTCTTTTCATTCAAATTCAAAGTATATTTTTTTTTATTATTTTCGTTCATATCACTTTAAATTATCTATTTCTTATTTTAGTAAAAATAATCATAGACAAAGCACCCGAAGGCCTACAACATCCACGAGCCTCTTGCGGTTACGAACGACTACAAACCAAAAAGGAAAAACGTGTCACAGAAACTCCACAGGATTACAGGAGGAAATGCACCGCCGTGAACCGCTGTGAAAAGTCGCCGGAGAAGATGAACAGACAGGTTAAGAGAGAGAGGCTAGAGAGTGGTTATGTTAGAGCGAGAGAGTGTGAGAGAGTGAATATAAAAGACGAGTTCTCTCTCTATGCATATATACTCAAGGTAAACGCGACGGACGGCCAGGACGAAGATCCAGAATCAACGGCGCTGATCCCGTCTCATCAAAAGACGCGGATCCTAGCCGGTTCACGGGCGCGGGTCATGGATACGGGTTAGGTAAGTGTGTGTAAGCGGTTCACGGATCAGGGCAGGCGGGCGCGGGTCGTGGATCACAAGTCAGGCCCAAATTCAAATGAGCTGCTTAGATTTGGTGTGTAGTATATTATATTGGGGTGGATCCCGGGACAAAAAAAATCCAACACTTTATTAATCTTTTTGAATTAAAATCTATTACATCTATCTCAATATTTTTTATTTTTTATATTTCTCTAGGATGTTAATTTTTTTTAAAAATAAAAATTTACACAATTATTTTTATATATAA